TCGAGAGGGGAGCGATGCAGCCCTGCAGGGCCGTACCTGCCTCCCCAGCCCGGCCATGCCCCCACTCTTGGGGGGGTCCCTGGGACCTCTATGCTCCTCGTTGGCACCCTGGACAAGCTCAGCTGCTGGCGCAGGGAGAGGTTTTCCAGCTGCAGCACCTGGATTTCTTCCTCCAAGGTTTGCAGCAGCTTCTCCCGGGATATCTGGAAGCATGACGAGGTGGCTCAGGGGGGTCCCAGCAGTGGGGCAGAGCACCCTGCCTGCAGCCCCTGCCTGCCATACCCTGTTGGCGAGGGGCCTGGTGGTGACCCTCCGGGCCCGGCTGGCGTAGTGCAGCGTGCTCAGCGTCTCTGACAGGCAGCGCGAGGACGGGGAGATGCAGGCAACCTGCCAATGAGGAAGAGCTGCAGGTGAGCTACGGGCCAGAGGGTCACCCGTGCCCCTTCAGCCTTCCCCTCCACAGGGTGAGACCCTGCGGCTCCATGTGCCCCTTGCCCAGCTTCCACCATGCACGTACCATCAGGGTGACGCCCGAGCCGCCCAGGGAGCGGGCCAGCAGCCGGGTCAGCTTGCTGTCCCGGTAGGGGATGTGCGTCCGCTTCCCTCGGGGTTTGGCCAACAGGGAGATGCAGTGTCCTGCCAGAGGATGAGCCACAGAGGGTGCAACAGGGCTCTGACAGGGACCAGCAGCTCGTGCTCCTATTGGGGGGGTCCCTGACTCTTACCCAGTGCCAGGAGGCTCCGGTTGATGTTGTTGGCCTCCACGGAGAGTTCCCCACTGGAGCCGGTCTCCTTCACCCGCTCGCTGCCGGCCAGGTCCACGAAGCACAGCGTGCCCTGCTTGCTGGGGCAGGCGCTGGGCTGGGGGACCTGTGGTGTGAGGGTGGTGCTCTGGCCCCACATCACCCCTTCCCTGTGGCCCACAGCACTGTCCCAACTCCTGGGTCTGGCATCTGGCTCCCTGCTGCTCACCCCAGCCCCACCAACGCATCCTTGGGGAGGAGGACATGACCCCCCACCCTGGGGCTGTTTGCATCCCCACAAAGAGCTCTGGCCCCTCCCCAAGCCCTCCCCCATGTCCCTGGAGCAGGACATGTGCTCACGGCCCGGCTGCGGACGTGGCTGGTCTGGA